TTGGGAGGTGGTGGCGGCGCGAGGTCGTAGTTCTTGTTATGGGACTGTGAATGGCGCATGGCTGCCGGGGCAGTTGGAGCAGAGTCTGAGTTGCGCATGGCTCGAGGGCCAGTGGGGATGGATCTAGCATCGCCGTTGGGGCCCTCGGAGCTGATCGAGGGCGAGTGCGTAGCACTTCTGTCGACGCCATTAGACGCCTCGGATTTTAGTCTGCGGGTTGCTGCGACTTCCTGTGCCCGTTTCTCTAGTGCGAGCTTCTCACGTTCCTTCTTGGAGAGGAATTTCGGCTGTAGAAAGAAAGGTGGGATGTTAGCTGTCTGAGCTTGTAGGGAAATCTTGGAGCTATGTCGTACCTTCGCAGCAGCAGCATCCGCCTCTCGCTTCTTCCGTACGAGTTCCTCCACACTCAGCGGTGTAGGGGCAGGCCGTTTTGTGCCCCATCCGACCTTCTTCTTCTTGGGCTCAGTCTCCGGCGGCGGCGCAGGTGGAAGATCTTCCGGCGGTGGAGGAGGTGCGGACGTGTCTGGCGGCGGCGGAGGGAGGCCGGAATCCTCTGGAGGAGGTGGCGGGGGAGTAGGAGGGCGTTCGATGGGCTCCGGAGGAGGCATGGGAGGGTGCGCCTCCGACGAACCGTTGGTCATGATACCATCCATGGCGACTGCAGAGGATGAAGCATGAGATGAACTGCAGCTCGGCGCAGAACTACTTGGTTTGTCTCCCGCGGCCTGGCCACTTTCTACGGTGGGGAACAGCAGCCATGTGCGCAGTAGGCGATCACGTGAACGCAGATAAGGATAAGGCTTACTACCCTATATTGTTTGAACACTACAGCACAGCATGTCTCTTCTATTGAGGTAACTGGAATCACATGCATGGAATGAAAGCTACCTACGCATTAGAATACACGGGGACAGTGTCCAAACTCATAAGGTCCACCCAACCGTAACCCATCATATCGGGAAGAGCAGTCGAGAACCGGCTCTGCACGTTGCAGATGCCGCCTCGCCTTTCGCTCAACACGCCATCGCTGAAAGCTGCACACACATCAGAAGAGAAATTATTGTTCTACATATCAGCAAGCCTTTCACAAGCTATGAGCGGGAAAGAGTACCATCCTCTTTGTGAGGAGTCAGATTGGGGTTGGGCGTTTCCGCACCAACCGAATTCAGCAGCTTTCTTTACTTCCCATCAGACTTACATGCCACCGTTGACCGGTGTCTGCTGATAGTAGGCGTAGGGGTTAGCTTGCGGGGGTGTTGGGACCACAACTTCCGCCACAGGCGTCGCCGACGGAACCGGCTGAGCTGGGGGCAGCTGTACCACTTCCGCGGCCTTCATCTTCGACACGGACGCCGGACCGTGCACTTCACGGTCCAGGGTCATGTACTCCTTTGCAGCATCCTTGGTGCCACGTTCAAGGAGGTAGACCATGTAGATCTGAACCAGCTCCCGCACCACGTCGGCCGGGAGGGTACTCTTGGACCGAATGTCCTCGATGACCTGCTTGATGCGCTCATACTGGACATTCTCAGTGGACGCGCTCGTGGGCTGATCGAGCTCGAAGTTCAGGTAGCTGGTCCAGAAGGGTCGGCTGTCCATGTAGTACTGCTGGTTCTTCTGGAAGACCTGACGGGCGTCCTCGGGAGAGCCCTTGATCTTCCACAATAGGCGAGCCCATTCCGCAACCAGTGCCGCCTTCGTAGCCAAGTCTGACTGTGGCGAATCCAACTGGCTCTTGTACACTTCGATGGCAGCCTCGAGTCCGCCGTGACGGCGAGACATGTTGGCCAGAGACACTATCGTTTCGACGTGGTTGGGCAGGTTGATGAGGATGGCGTCGTGGATCTCCTTGGCAACATCCACACGACCACTCATCTCTTCGAAGTAGGCATACTGGAGACGGGTGGCTGGGTTGGCGATTGGCACGTACAAGCAGCTGGCACGCTGGTAGATGTTGCGCACTTCTTCTTCCTTGCCAGGCTGGCCGGCCATCCACCTGGCGTAACGTTGCCAGAACTCGTCGTAGTGAGCGCATGTCACCAAGCACCTCTCGTACAAGAACTGGGTGCGCACATAGGAGCCCTCGGACTCTTCGAAATCGAGGTACTTCTTCCAGTTGTTCAGCTGGCCCTCATCGAGTTCGGTGACGTGGAAGTACGGGCGCTTGATTTCCGACTCGTATGTCCAACGTTTCGTGGTCTCGGTTTGGGTCTTAGAGAAGATCTCCAAGTGATAGCTGTCTACGCGTAACCGCAGATCCCGCTCAACCTCTGCCTCAGCCTTCGCGCCAGGGGCGACATGTCCGGCAGCAGCATCAAGCTCTGCGCGGAACTGGGTCAAAGTCTCCGGAGACGCCAACTCCACCACAGGGCGGGTCTGAGCCAACTGCCTGTACCTCTCGAAATACCGAGCGTACTGATGCATGGGGATGTGAATCACCCGGCCCAGGATAGCAAATATCTTATCGAAAGCCTCCAGGCGCTCCTCGAACTCGATGTACTTGTCCCAGAAAGGGTGGGCCAGGAAGTCCAGTCCAACGCTGGCTGCGCCGCGCTCGAAGAGCCTGCACACAAACGAACGTTAGTAACAAAACGGGTACACCACCATCAGAACAGCGCTGGGGAGATGGGGGTATGGGAGGGGAAAGAAGGGGAGTGACAAGGATAGCAAACATGAGCGTCAGATTCCCAATGAGTGCGAGCCCAAACAATTGAACGACTAGGATGGTCAAACTGTGGATGAAACTTATGTTCCCCCGTCTGCTTCGAGCGCAGAATAGGTGCCACCCGGACACAAGTCCTGGTGTTTAGTGTCCGTGCAGGGGAGGTGCTTGGCTTGAAATCAACTGTAAATGTTTCTTCAAAGGGGGTAGAGAGAGAGAGCAAACAGCCTGGAGAAGCCATGGGTGAGAAGTAAACTCCAGTAGAGTCCGGGTAAGGTGAAATCTCACCCGTCAGCGAGGGGGACTGGTGCAAATGAACATTTGCATCACGCGGGTCCGGCATTCACAACCATGTCCGTGCTGCGTTTGTAACGGTTACGTGGGGGAAGGGAAAGGAAAGCAGCTCTACTATACTTACTCTCGAATCACATCAGCGTCATGGGAGGTCTCTGCCTTGAAGGAGCAGTAGTTGGTCCACAGGTCGACCGAGGGCGAGATGCTAGCGACACCGCGTTCATACACCTATGAAAGCATCAGCAATTCCGGTTGACTTCATCCAACCCTAAGTCAGGTGTATGCATACCATGTCCGCAGCCTCGGTGCCGGTGATGGAAAACTCCAGGTCGGCATATTTCTTCCAGTAACCGAACAACAGCGGGAATTTGGCCAAGAAGCGGTCGTAAACATTGCGCACGGTGGTGATGGCTTGGGGGTTGGAGTTGCGGTTGATTCCGCCCTCGAGCGCTTCGCCAGCGCGAACCAGTTTCTCCCAGGTTTCGAAGTTATCCGGGTCATCGAGCTGTACGACAACGATGATGTTAGCACATGTGATGCAGCATTCCCCGCCGATCGAGATGTTAAATAGGATCGCATCATACCAACTCAGTCTCGAGCTTCTTCAACTCTGCATTCTCCTCCTCGGAACCTCCATAGTTGTAGTCCGCCATGATGGCAGTTGATGTGGTCGGGGTCAAAAGAGTAGTGACGAGGATCGTCCGCGACAAGGGGTGAGAAAGGACGGGACGCTGTTAGGAAAGGAAACGGATCGGGAGCAATCCAGCGACCAAGATAAAAGGAAGAGCGGAGATATAAGGCGACCAGAGAGGTAGGGAGAAAGAAAGCGCGCGAAAGAAGGAGGAGAGAGAAAGCGAGGAAGACGGAGAGAGGAGGAGGATCAAGCACCAGCCACAAGTTCTACTAGTTAGTTTAGCAGCAACAGTAGCAGCAGTAACCAGTTAGTTCACCCGGTTTACAGTAAAGTTACTTTCCTTTCTCTTTGCTCTTTTCTTTTTCGCCGAGTTCCCGAGCCTCATCCCAAAACGGTTTAGCGCCGTTACTGCAATTCTCAACGCGGACAATCCAAAGAATCACCACCAGCTCGAGTTATCCGGAGAGAAAAGAAGCCCCCATCCATCCCACCTCCCCCTTCCTCACCAATTTACAGGAGAGGCAATCGGGAAACAACAGCTAAAAATGGCCACCACACAATCCAGCAGCTTGGTATCCAAGCTCCCCATCCGCCTCCGCAACTTCTTCGCGCGCTATCCTCCGCAAATCTATTCCGCAGCCGTAGCACCACGCCCCGAAGCCCCCGAAACTGGTGCCCCCGTCAACGTCAACGTCGAGGATCTTCCCTCTCCTTACACGCCCAACCGTGATGCCAAGGGTTTCAAGCGTCCCGATCCTAAGGCATTCTCTCCCTCCAAGGCCATCCTGCACTCCGACTCCAAGCACCCCAACCCGTTCTTGCCGCGCAAGAACTTCCGCACCGGCAAGTGGTTCGGACCCCGGATTGGACTGCGTCGACAGGCGGAGCTGGTGAAGTTGGCGATCAAGTACAACGTTGAGGCTTTGTTGCCGCCTGGCCGCAAGTCGACGGAGTTCAAGGAGACGAGACGTGCGGAGCGTGGTTTGGCTATCAAGGGTACTGGTATCGGACAGAAGGTCAAGGGTCACAAGTGGGAGAGGACGATGGAGGCTCGTCTGGAGGACAGACGCAAGGCTATGATGGAGATGCCGGAGATGATCCGTTTGTGGAAGCAGGTTAGTTTCCCATTCCCTTTCTCTAACCCCCTCAATTGTTAGGATGAAGAACGGTGCACTAACTCGATATTACTTCACTTTACAGAGAGGTCACGGTCGTGGCTGGAAGTCGTGGCCCAAGCGGTAAAGGCTTACGCTTCTGGATGTATTATCTTCTGTTTTTCGCCTCGGGTGGAATGGATCCGAGGCTTGCATAATGTCGCATCTGTCCTATTTTATACATCTCACCGAGCCGGAACCATCTATTCGTCTATCCAGCTCGGGGAGAGTTTCGATTGAATCATTGTTGTCGGGGTTCGGCACGGGAGTTTTTCCTCTTATGTATTTATTGTACAAATAGCTTGTTTCTCAAAATCATGCACATTGAATGTCTGCGTGAATGGAAATGGTATCAATAGAATGTTGAACGCAAACAAACCATTCAAAGGAGGTTTCCACCTTGTTTACAATGTCACACATGCTATAACTAGTAATGTTCCAATTTGATACATGCTTCCAATGCAATGCAATGCTTATCCACAACCTATATGTAAATCATAACTCATCATTCATGGCCCATAGTAAGACGGAGTAACCACATCTCCCACCATTACTGTCCTTGACTTGGTGTCATTCCCATCACCAGACGAAATCGCTAAATGTCGCCCAAAGTAAATCTTATTTCCACTCTTCCTCGTTTTCGCCAACGTCGAATATGGTTCCTCACCACGCACACCAGTAAGCTGATCAATACAGACCATCTGGCACCGCTGACAAGATCCAAGGACGTTGAACTGAAGATTTTCGGGCCCAATGTGCAAACTCTCCCAATGGTCTTCGATATACGGTCGTCCTGCACTTACCGGCTGTGGAAAATCCTCTGCAACGACGATGTTGGCACGAAATACATCGGCAGCTACAGCTTTCTTGCGGCCAGTACTGTTGGTGGTTGTAGGACTGCCCTTGATGGTCTCGTTAAGACGATTCACGGATGAGCGGGAGATGAGCAGGATTGGACTCTCGTTTGACAAGAGGATTGGATTTCGTTCTGCCTCAGGGGTCGGGGTATCTTGGGGGAATGCACCTGGCATAGCTTGTCCAAGTGGTGATCTCCTGCTGCCAGCACCACGTCTGGGTTCGGCAAGTCGGGTGGAGGATTGAGGTGGGAATCTCGCGAGCGTACAGGGTACACCAAGGAAGTCAGAGAAGAAGACGGACACTATGGGAGATGAATATGCTTGAACAATAACCTGGTCTCCGCAGACAGTAGAAGGTTTCGAGCTATTCTGGCATAAGGAGGTAGTCGTGAGGTTGCTATTCTCGCGATCCAGAGGAATCTCGAGCGTTTTCTGGCTTGGGGAATGTATAGATCCACAGGTGACGCGCAATAAGCCTTGGCCGAGATCGATAAATGGTCTTATAAGAGCCATGCGAGGATATCTCTTCTGATTGAGAGCTGTACCTGTGCCTTGGTGAATCAGGCACCATTCGCGATCCCAGGCCAGGCCTTCTCGGCGGATTTCCCAGCGCTTGCCGTCGGGTACTTTGAATGCACCACAACTCTTAATGGGATACACGGACAGACTCTCGACATGGAAACCGGACCGGTGAGAAAGGTTGGCTTCCGGTGGTGGCAGCAACGCGCACATAGTCGGGCTTTTCTCGACGTAAAATTCCTCGATAAAAGCCATGAAAGTGTCAATATCGGCCATGTTGCTCATCGCACCGAGGCTTGCTCTCAGAATCCCAGTAGGTCGTCCGTCCATGATATCATGGTCATCGCCACAACGCATGCCTGCTCCAAAATGTCGAAGCATGTCTGCTCCGGTCCAGTTAAGGCTGGCCGCTGTGCCTCCCGGATTGCATAGCGTTCCAGACCTGATTTGTATGTTCCTGACGCTGGCCAGTTTCTCCACTTCGGATTTACCAATCCAGGCACCTTGACTGCTTCGCAGATTGAATGCCAAGATTGGACCCTGCGAGGAAGGATCGGTATAGTCAGTGTGTGATGGCTTGTACACATGGCAAGCTCTCTCCCCGTTATGATGTCTCAAGGAAATCATGCGATCATATAAGCGCTTCGCTAGGAAGCGGGTGTGCGAAGAAATATGATCCATAGATCCAAAAAGGCGCTCGTGCGTATCAAATGCAGAGCCCAATGCGATTATATTATGGAACGGAAGCGTCCCGTCTTCCAGTCGTTCATGAATCGAAGATTGCTTCTTCGCATGCCAGTTTGTCCCCTGTGTTAAAACCATATCTACAGTTCCCCCACCAAAGAACTTCCGCTTGTCAAAGATGTGGCCAGCACTCTTGCGAACAATCAATGCACCGAGGTCGGGGAAACCGAAAATCTTGTAGAAGCTGAGAACGGCAAAGTCGGGTGCGGCGGAAGCATCACTCAGATCGAGGGGGGCTGTCGACACAAGCGATGCGACATCAAGAAGCGTATAAGTGTCCTTTGCCGACTCCCGTATCCTCCCGCACCAGTCACGAGGAAATCGCCGGCCGTTCATATTCGACTGTGCAGGGTATGCAAACAGTCGAGGACCTTGCACAGGTTCTATACTCAGTTGAGAAATCCAGCTCTCAACCTCTGCGTCCGCCACGAAGCACCTGCTCCCAGTGCTTGCAAGCTCTCGCGCCCCGACCAGGCTCGTATGCGATTCCACATGGTATCCATACCAGAACCCTTGGGGCGTTGAGTCGCGGAGAGAATCGACTACCAATTTAGTTGCGGCCGTAGCGTTCGCCACAAATACAAGATCAAACTCCTCCGGATCAGCATTGAAGAAACGAAGGGCCCGTAGACGGATATCATCCACGCGTTGAGTCGATAGCTGTGAAGGTGCGGACATGGAATGGGGATTCCCGTAGAGGTTCGACGTAAGGTCTCGGGAGAACGATTCAATCAGGGATTTCGCGTAAAGCGTGGTACCTGCATGGTCAAGATATGTGGTGTCTAATTTCGAGATTAGATAAATGAGCTTCCATTCATCTATTGTTCAGTGCATAGAAGCAACCCAGCACGCGACCTACCTTTGAGCAAGGGATATTCACGTTCCCGGATGACGTCCACATCATCCGGGTACTGGCACTTGCCCCTGTCTGTCATCCTGGTGATCCGTTCCAGACGACATTAATTGCAAGTTAATGGTAAATTATGGTTGTGGTGTGGTGAAGGTCGAGTGTCGCATTGCTGGCAGGGGTCGAGAGTGAGGTGGCGACCGCTGATTCACTGCATATGGAATGCTCCCTGAACCACAGATGGATATGTCAAGTCCGCTAAATACACGAGCATCCAATAACTCCTGACCTAAGTAGGAATAGAGTTGTCAATCACTGTGCAAGTAGGCTAAAATATATACCGTGTAGCGGTGGAGGTATGAATAGAAATAAAGAGTAGAAGTACTAACTTAGTCTCTTTGCCGATAAGGCTAATCGATCGGAGCTTACCGATGACGAACTTTGCCGACGGCTAGCCGCGGACCATCTTCAACGCTGAAACTTGGAGTCTCTGCTGGCAACGAGAGAGCAGAATATGATTGAATTGGGGAGTAGCATTCGGGTCAAGGATGCGTGGCATACATAAATCTTCTGGAAAGAACAGCTACCTGCAAAACAGCCTGAGCGTGTTCAGCCCGACCAGCACGTCGAAGCTTCCCCACTTTTGCGCTGCTTATCGAGAGCGGGGAGCGGCCGGGTCCGAAGATCAGTGGGATTCACTTTCTGCAGTAATGGCTCTGTTCAAAAGTGGTGGTGGGAGGGATCCATTACTATTTTGTATGTAAAGGATATCAACCTGTGTTTGTAATAGGCTATCTCTTCAGGCTAACATAGCTTACAATATCACAACTTCACGTTAACGGCCACAGGATCATGTAGGGGTCCACCTAACGAGCAAGTAGTAGTTCTTGCGTAAACATAGCTCACATATCTTATAAATCTTGCCACATAAATGAAAATAGCTAGGACAATAACATTGTCAGAAAGCATCAAATGCCGTACAAGATGGACAAGGAACTTTGTCAAATAAAAACATTATCATCCTATATGGAGCAATAACAATCACAGATCATCAAAGGTTGATTGCTAAGACTCATGCTGCCGGTATGCCTTCCCTCGTTACTTCGTTTATTTCAATGTTTTTTTTTTTTTTTTTCCGTCGTTCGTTTCGCGTTATCCATTCCAATCATTAATCCGTATCATCCCATCATATCTGGTGCTTGCCATGCAAATTGTTTTATACCACATACTGCTGCCGCCGACCCGAGCTGCTGTGGCGCCGGTGACCACGTCGACTGCTGTGACTCCTGCGACGGACAGTGGTCTCCTTGACAACAACCTCCGGACGCTTGTAAATAGCGAGAGCAAGAATAGCCGTCCAGAGGAAGAAGACAACTTCGATGATTCCCAGTGCAAAGCTGGCCTTCAGCATCGCGCATGTCTTGTCAATGTGGAAGGACAGCGGGTTATCGGTTCTGTAGCCGTAGTATCCGAAGGGGCCCAAGGAAATGTACACCGAACCACCATCCCAATGAGAGCAACTGGCCCCTGCAATAAAACGCAGCTCGTAGACGCCCGCAATGAAAGCACCGAAGAAGAGGAGATCGATGAAAGCGACAAACATGGCGGAGCGCTTGGTGGTCGAAAAGCGGATCAGGGTATCGAGGCACCAGAAAGCTGCAATGACGCTGACGATGAAGAGAACGAGAATGTAGGCAGGGGTAATTTGGTTCGCATTGAGGTAGCCATTGACGAAGTATGCCTAGATCGGTGCTGTTAGACATGGCCGTCCGGGGATTGGGTTAGGGTTGGAATGCACATACCATCATTCCGATGATCGGAATCAGGAAGACAAGCTCCAGAATGCGGTTGCAGATGAAGAATATACTGCCAATCATTTTGTCGGATATGCGCAGGTTGCGAATGGACCTTCTCGGAGTGTAATTGAAATACTAGGATCAGATGCTCAGAAGCGTGAATAAGAGTAGGAGTCTGGGCTGGAGGTGGCGGCAACTACAACGTCATCACACGCGACCACATTAACCGACGAGACGATATTTTCACGACACGATCTAGCTGTGTTCGTTGCACCGAGTGAAGCACCCTGTCAGAGAGATTCTGTGGTTGCGCCGGACAACGTATAGAGGAGAAATGGTTAGGTGCCGATCAGATGCAGCCCAACTCAAAGGCACGAGCCCAGCCGTTACGTGCTAGAGAAAGCAAGGTACAGGTGATGCATCCAGCCCAAGGCAGTATGGAGATGAGATGCAGAAGAGAAAAGAAAGAGGAACCGGACGGGGATGAATATGCGAGTCGGAGAAAGACAGAGGAGGCTGGGCGATTCAGGCGGCGGGGTGGCTGGGATCCCAGCGTGAAAACAAGGTTCTATTGCCGACCTTGAAACAGCGAGTATCAATAGGTGTTTCAACAGTTAATTTATGACTCGGGTCGAGTCACCTCAGGTTCGACAATTCTACGCCAATCGGTACAAAGGGTATACAATTCTTTTTTTCAACATACAATTGTTGGTGATTATTGTTCGGTGTTTACCGCCGTCCTTGCCTTTGGGAGGGCCGTTGCCATAGCTGAGCCGTGGGTGGGGCTGACCGGCCCACGAGGTGCTCGAGCCACGGTTGAGCGCCGGTCTAGCCCTCAGGAACGCTTTCTGCCTCTTGTGTGGCAGCGTCCCAGATTGACCAAGAAAGTATCCAGGACTATTTATATCTGATGCAAGGAGGGTGAGATGGAGAGCGGTTGCGGTCTCTCCTCGTCCCCACTGTAGTAATATGGTCGACTTTCGCCCTCTCGGTACCAAACCAGATCCACTATCCCAATCTCTAAATGCGACCATGTCTATTAAATGGCAAAGAATACACCCATAACCAATCAACAAAAACTGGGGTTTTAGACTTCCCGATACGGCATATCTGTTAGGTCCCGCCCTATGTCCGCATGAGTCGGGAGCGCGCCCGAGGTTTCGTGGGTACTGGTGGTTCCAAGTACAACCTGTGGGGTCTGGGAGTGGTACGCCGTATCAACATCGAGTCGCGCCGTTGGTCCGTTCAACGCTGGGTTCTGCGTCCGGGCATAGCCAGGTTGCATCTCATATCCACCAGCAACATCCTCACTGGAGGATGACCAGTTGTCGTCTTCATCACGTCTTGAGTAGCCGTACATGTTCGTAGTGTACGGATTAGATTCCGGTAGGTACAAGGGCCTACCAGCATCACTTCCGGTCGTCTTCGACTGAGGAGCTTCGTTCAATCGCTCTTCCTCCGGGTTCCTTAGAGCGGCAGTGCTCCCATCAGCAGCCACCAGGCGGACAGTCTCGGCAGGCCCCACGGGATCCCTGCCCCACGTCCGGATGGGATAGGCGCGTCCTTTCTTCCAGGGCTCGTTGAGGGAAGGGAAGTATTGACGGTACGAGATGCAGGCACAGATAATGCCTAGGAGCGATCCGGTGATGACGTCGAATGGATGATGCCTTGCATCCATAATACGGCTCACCGCAACAAGCGTTGCTGCAAGAGACGGTATCATGACCAAGAGTGTCTTCCAGGCCTCGCCGCGGTTGTCCATTATGTGCAGCTTGCCACTAAGCCAAAGCGTGAGATAGAATAACCCGGCAAACGACGCTGTAAACATTATATTAGTTCTCAATGCGCGTTTGTGACAACTCAGGTGGATCTCTCACAGCTACTATGTCCTATAACGACGAATTAGCATATGAAACGAATCCAGTATCTTTAAAGTGCTGTCCAACCTGAAGGCCATGACCGGAAGCCGTCTTTGATGAGCGCATGTTCACCGGTACAGATAGTGGAATTCGACAGTCCGGGTATCGCGTCCTGACTACCCGCTCGGGGCTGGCACCGATCAATGAAGTCAGGCCTAGGCTTTCCACAAGCATTTTTCAGCACCTGCGTGATGACAAAGGCCAGCCCTTGTGAGAGCAAGAGCCCCAGAATGCCGCAGTTGAGCTCCCATAGCCGATCTTTCCATCTATATGGACCGGTGAATTTGCGCTTCCCCGAGACTGGATGCTGCGTCTTGTGGTGCGAGAAAAGCCCGTCGATGAATAGCGTATAGACGATAATGATGACGAGGGGTGCCAGGCCAGAGATACAGAGGGCTTCCTGAATGGTTATCCGCTCGTGGACTGCATATGGGTACTGAATTGAAATATTTCGTAAGGAGAAGTGCTGATGATATGGTTCAATGGAGTCAAGGACGTAAAAGCCTCCAATGCACGCACTATTGCAGCAATGATTAGCAAATACCGCCGATGATCCGCCAACAGGTAGAACTAACATTAGGATAACATAGTCAAAGATATATCTGCGATGAGCGACACATGTTAGCAATGAGTAGCATTTCTTCCCCTTAAAATAGAATTGAATCCTCACGATAAGATGACTCGCTGCTTCAGGCGCCGCTTAGAGAAAGGCAGCTTTTCGGGTAGACGGTCCATCGGATCAGGATCCACTTGGTTTAAGACACAATGCAATAAGTGAGGGGCTCAATTCTCCTTGTCCACAGCTCGGATATATAAAATCTGGCCAATGTTCAGTGCATTTATTTTCCTTGAAAAAGAGCAGCCTAATGCGACCGGTGTGCGCGTGAGATTGGGAGCACGTGAGGGAGTCTGTCGACAGCTGAAGTGTCAACTGAGATCTGCCCAGCGGCGAAAGGCCAGCAATAAAAGAATTCGGAGAAGGCTGAGTCCCTGATTTGTGACTTGCCAATGAGAATGAGACGGAGACAAAGCATGGGGCTGTGGGCGACTAAATATGGGGGAAGTCTGAATACTCGTTGCCTGCAGCTCTTTGGCCGACCCACTCGCCCAGAGTACATCGGCTCGACCACGGCTCGGTCAACCGCTGGCTGCCTCGTCTCAATGGAAGACCCCGGTATGGGCCATTAAACCTTTTGGTCGTATAGCATGACCGGAAGGGAAGGATGGATAGCGGTAGATACCATCATAGGTGCAAGATGCCCTTGACTACCGAGTAGCTGGACCGGGAATGCAATTAGGCACGGAGTGTCATTGACAGATGACGGACCGTGTTAAGTGAACAGACCCTGCTTGATCGACACTCGGGCGGTTAACTTTGGCTCGGTATGGCCGCTGTTATGATACAAAAATATCAGGGGTGGATCTCTTGGACAGCGTGTAACGCTCTTTCTGTCATTTTCACATCGTATGCTTATGTAATGTATGGATGTCGATCCTATTGCCAATGAGTTGAATTGAATAGCAGTCCCAACTTTTAGTCCTTGCGGGTTATAGCACGCCAGAATGGGGAGTTTGGGTGATCTTCGCTGAGAACCCATTTACATTAGCCCTGTTAGGTTAGTATTACAGTGGTTCAACTGATATTATTCGGCTAACTGCCTGAGCCTGTCATGACTGCTAGATATAAATCTACACGACACCATCATCTGTACACCAACATATTCTGATTAGCTATCAACAACAATTAAAATCCAGCTATATGGCACTATAAGTATTATTTCTTTTCTACACAATGACTGTTGAGTGGGGACTGCCCTGAATTGTCACACCACACTACAATTGGCGCAAATTACCCTCACTGCGGCGTCTACCACCCGAACTACACAAAATACCCTTCATCCTCCACATCCATCCCAGACAGTTCTTCTGGAGACCCCTTTGTTGCCGCGCAGACAATCGGCTGTGCCCCCTCCTCAGCATACTTGGCACCACGGCGTCCCCCAAAGTCCTTTCGATAATAACCCGGGCAAACCACGATTGAGAGAATGTTCTCCTTCTGCAGGCTCACCGCATCCACCGCATTGATCATGTTGAGGGCGGGTTTACTGCTTCAGTAGGCTGGCAGCTCTCAGATCTTAGCACTACACTCCGAGGTAGGCGAGTAGGCTATCCCAATCTGCCCGAGGCCGCTGGTCACATTGACGATGCGCCGATCAGGATACTTGGAAGCACGGAGAAGAAGTATGAAGGCATCTGTTACAACAGTCACCCCGAAGACGTTGGTCTCTAAAAACTGCGCGGTAGGTCTCACGCAGAGTGGCGTTGGAATCAGATGATCAATTGATGCCGTCCTTATTGACAAAAACGTCGAGTGAACCGAACCGTTCCTGAATGAAGGCGGCGGCAGGCTTGATGGATTCGTCGATGTTGAGGTCTAGTATCACTGGTGTCAAGTCGTTGGAGGCACTGCCTAGTTTCTCAATAGCGTCCTGGGCTGTCTTTTGCGTCCGAGCGCCAATGAGGTGGCGGTATTTGCCGGTGCTGGCAAGCTGTTTGGCTGTGGCATACCCTAAACCCCGGTTGGCACCGGTGATCAAGATCAATGGCTTCATGAGAGTCAAGGCGAAGAGTGTGTAATGAAGAATGTATAACGAGATTTGCGGACTCCGGTGATCTGAAGACGAGGTACTAGAATAGGAGCAAGCCATCAATTGACTGCAATTATATCTACCCGAAGGCCTGGATTTAATCGGAGTTAAGATGTACCCAACACCTGGACTAAACCGGACTTTATTATGACTGACATTAGAGATACTTCTTCGCAGGTCATCATGAAGAACATATTATCAAATCGATAAAAAGAATGACACTTCATCTGGGCTTCTAACCCCTAATGTCGAGTTAGCAAACTGGTTCATTACCTTCCCTCTCTTCCATACAGTCAGCAATACACCATTTCCAGCCACCAAAGTATACTGCTGCTAACCCTTGGTCCATGGACAGCCTTTTGTTCTTCGTGGAGCAACACCCATAAGCTGGTACTGCCTACACAGTGTCGCAATGTAAACAGTAAGCATGCAGGCTCAATTGCCCACCAGCATCGTTCCATCGGTTTTGGAATATCGCCTGCTGCTGATGGATGGAAAAATTGATAACATTCATCCTCACCCATAGATGGGACATACTTCTTGTCTAGCTCGAGTCCAAGCCTGCATCGTTGACTGGAATGGAACAATCTTGATGTTAAGCTCCATTGGGTTCAAGTCTTCGTCAGGGTGTGTCCTATGATGCTGAAAAATATATTGCCGCACGACGGTGATTCTTATAAGTAACGAAGATATGGGAAAAGCTTCATAAAATTGACATCGTCCGTTCATTGCTGGTCGGCTAAGGGATATTCTCAGTAGTCTCCGTCGACGGCAGAGTGTCTATCAGTTGCTAGCCATATTAACCGCGGATTATTGTCTTTATGAAAGGGGACATCCTGACCCCTTGTGCGAATACTATCAGCATCAGCCTTGAGTTATCTCATACCCAATTGAAGATGGTGGGTGTGATTATTTGTCCAATTGTTTGTCTCGCTGCAAGTGCTCTTGAGATGCAGCAGCAAGACATGTTGATAGTATGGGCATACGAGAGTATACTCCGGTTGCCCCCGGTGATTTTGTTCGTATGGTGGAGAGATGCAGGGATTTGAATCCTTGAAGCGGTAAGTCTTCCATACAGCACCGCCTTCTTAATTTACCATGGTGAAGCCTTGAATAGCAACACTGAATAGCTAGTTATAACTATGAAGTATTAATAATCATATAAACAGTAGAAAATAAAGGATTCAGATTCCTGCACCTCTCCACCATATTAACAAAATTACCGGGGTCAACCGGAGTATGCACCAGACCATGGAATGAACCACCTCTGGGTGTTGTCCAGATTGTGGTGAGCTCCGTTCCTGCTAGCAGATCCAATCGTTGTTTGTGCCGACCTACTCCGTAGCGCTGCGTACTAGATAAATGTTAGAATCCTGGTGGGGTTTACGTGTACATCGCCCTATTGTTGGGCGCCAACTCATACATGAAGCACTAGGAACAACTCGGAAAAACGGAGAATTGCTAGTCTCTCAGCTCTTAGATCTAGAGCTGAGAAAAAGCAAATATTCTTTGTTGGCTTAAAGATGCTTGCTCATCCCCCGACCGGCGCTTTTCGCTCGAGTAAACACGCATAGAACCCCGCGCACCATGGGTTGTCCCAAGCTACGAAATCCCTTTCGAAAGAGGCGCCCCAAACAACAGCCTCGGGAGGAAACCACGAATCTATCAAACATTCCACCACAAATATCGTTTAATGCTCTTTCTGGTACCTGTTCGACGCTGGAGCCAGTAGCTCAACCGAAACCTAAAGCAGATGCCTTGCCAGCAGAGGATAAACAGGTTCAATTGAGCTCTGATACCATCCTGCCTCACCTCAACAGGAAAACTGAGAAACGGAATCTCTGGCAAGAGGCATACAACACGTTGGATGAGAAGCAGCGCCAGAATATAAAGCCGTTGAAGAAAAATGACCAGAACGGCGACAATCACGATGACAATGCAACCCCTGTACGCAAAACACTAGATGATGTAATTCGAGCCGTCAAAGCACAATACGAAATAAGAATGTCGAAAAGAGGAGACTCACGACTTCGGGATGCTGCAAACAAAATCTTGACAGCCACATTGAGCTGCAAGGATATTATCAGTGCAATCGTGGCATTCGACCCCACTGCCCACGCGTCAAGTGCCTGGACAGTCGTTTCTCTGGGATTGACGGTATGTTTGACATCATTGTCTAATCACAGTTCACTTGCCTAACATAGTGTTGGTAGATGACACAGAATTATCGTGATCAACAAATGGCTTGGTTTCAATCATCTGCCATCTTGACTGACATCCTAGCTCGGTATGCCGTTATAGAGAAGCTTTACCGCGACGAGAGCTCCGAGGTGAATGACAGAATTGAGGATGCCATCTTAAGGGTCTATATCGCTGTTCTGAAATATACGGCAGAGGCAATGACCATCTATCGCTCAAATACAGGAAAGCGATTGATGCGTAGTGTGGTGGCCCTGGCAAACCTGCCCCTGACAGAAATTCAGTCCTCGATCGACACAGAGGAAACGCACCTAGGAAAGTGGTTGCAAATGTTCCAAGAAATGCAGCGCAAAGAGGAGGCCAATAATATACTTCTTGGAGTTGATCGAATTCTTGACGGTATCCGAGGTATTGACCAGAAACTCGATCTCGCCAAGCTGCCGATAGCTGAAGGGGCTCACTTCAATTCGCACATGGATGAGGACCAGGTTGAATGCCTGGAGAATACCCGAGTTGAGCTTCTTGATGATATCACGGACTGGGTAGATGATCCCAAGGGAAAGACCATCTTTTGGTTGAGGGGGGTAGCTGGAACTGGAAAATCAACAATTTCCCGATCAGTGGCGCGAAAGCTGCACGAGAGAGACCTGCTAGGAGCAAGCTTCTTTTACAAAAGGGGTGAAGGTGATCGCGGGAAAGCTTCGCGGTTCATCACCACTATCGTTAAGCAATTAATGATTGCTCTCCCCCACCTGAGGAAAGAGATTGCGGCAGCCATGGAGGATGACTTAATAGTTTCCACATCACTGAAAGACCAATTTGACCATCTGTTGTTGAAGCCACTTTTGAGCGTAAAACTAAGCAATGGGCAGCGCCTACCGCTTGTCATTGTGGTCGATGCCCTGGATGAGTGTGAGGAGCGAAGCATTGAGACGATCATTCGACTTCTTCCTCGGGTGCAAGAATCGAAAACGATACAATTGAAGGTCTTCATCACCAGCCGACCCGAACACCCAATTTTTGAGGGCTTTGAGCAGATAGAAGGTGAACACAAAGATGTCGTTCTCCATGAGATTGAACGTCGTACAATCAAGCACGATATGGCTCTATTCTTTGAGGACCGTTTATCGAAAATCAGAAAGAACAAGAATCTTGAAGATGAATGGCCTGGAGAAACCGAGACACAAGCTCTGATCGACATGGCAATACCGCTTTTCATCTTCGCTGAAACTGTCTGTCGCTTATTAGGGGACTACCGATGGGATCCAGACGACAGCTTGAAAGACATATTGAAACGTCGATACAACAACTCTAATCTGGATAGAACTTACTTGCCTGTTCTAGACAAACTCCTCGAAGGACAGGATCGACGAGCTCAGAATGAATTGGTTAAGCAATTCCGACAGGTTGTTGGGACAATCGTTGCTCTCGAAAGCCCACTTTCCATTGCTTCACTTTCAAAGCTGATAAATATGAAAGAGAGCCTAATTCGCACCAGACTAGACTCACTTCATTCAGTCCTGAGCATTCCAAAGGACAACAACAGACCAGTCAGAATGTTCCATCTTTCTTTCCGTGAATTCCGACTTCATCCAGAGACAAAAGAGAAAACAAAATTATCAGTGGACGGGCAGTCAACACATCGCGATTTGGCTCATAAGTGCATTGCAGTCATGATGGATCCCCAACATGGACTTCGACAGGACATCTGTGACCTGCGAAAACATGGAACCTCTAGAGATGATATTACCACGGAGCAGATTGAAGGATGTTTTCCAGCAGAACTTCGCTACTCTACCCGATATTGGGTTCGTCATCTTCACCAGGGAGCTTGGATTCTTTCTGATCACGACGAAATACATGAATTTCTCAAAAAGAATTTTCTTCACTGGCTGGAAGCAATGAGTATCTTAGGACATCTACCAGAAACAATAGGCAGTGTCAATATGTTACTCTCGATTGTACAGGTACGCGTCATTCTCTCTATTAGCGAGCCGAACTTACTGAATGTTCACAATATACAGACGTCACACTCAGATCGAATATCAAAATTTCTTTACGATGCAAAGCGATTAACTCTAAAGAATATCCATATCGCCAAAGAATATCCGCTGCAGCTGTATTCCTCCGCATTGCTGTTCGCACCAGAAAAATGTACGATCAAAAAAACGTTTCTCCACTATGTCTCACCATATTTCTCTCGACTATCCAGAGTGCCTGAGTATTGGGGTGCTGAATTACAAACAATCGAGGTTGGATATCAGTATTTAAGATGCTTGGAGTTTTCTCCTGATGGAGAGTTGCTCCTCACATCTACTAATAAACTAAGCCTGTGGGAAGCCAGTACTGGTGACTTACGGCATACGCTTGAGGAATCGACTAACCTCGAGTTTGGACTATGCGCATTTTCACCAGATGGAAAGTTAGTGGCTGGGACAAATTGGGACAGCAGCACAATACGATTGTGGGACTCTCTTGCTGGTACTTTAAGACATACCCTGAAAGGCGAACATGGTACTATTGCGATAGGGTTTTTAAACAATGAGCAGTTGGTCTCGATATCTTTTGACAGAGAATTGTCAACATGGAACACCATATCCGGAGAGTTACAGCAAAGTGTACGCTTGGAGTATGAATATGAAGAAGAAGAAGAAGAAGAAGAAGAAGAAGAAGAAGAAGAGTTTTTCTCTGAAGAAGAAGAAGAGTACTACGACATACACTCAAGAGCCATGGCAGAGATGTTTTATCATTAGCCTTCTCACCAGATGGACGGTTTCTAGCCTCAGCGCATATGAAGAGCATATTGGTGCTTTGGGATATATGTAAAGGAACCGAGCTTAATACTCTACAGTGCCATGCTAATGATTGCTGTATCAATTCTGTGGATTTCTCTCATAATGGGAGATCGCTGGCTTTGTATTGTGAGCAAGGGCTGACCATCTGGGATATATGCCATAGCCCCATATTATCCACCTTTGCTAGCCGCAAAACGGTCATTGGGCTAGTCAAGTTCTCACCAGACAACAAGCTTGTGGCTTCCTCAACTTTGGGCCAGGTGACTCTCTGGGATACCACTCGTTGTGAAGTTCAGCATGCTCCACAGGGGCATACAAAGCCAGTAACCACAGTACAGTTTTCGCAAACTGGAGCGGTTCTCGCTAGTAGTTCCAGGGATAGCATCGTGAGGCTCTGGGACATTTCCACGGGCACAGTGCAACGCGTACTACAAGGCCACTCAGATGCAGCTTCGGGGGTCTCTATCTCCCCAAAGGGTCACCTTGTAGCCGTGTCCTCAAAGGACGGACTCATCGAGATATGGGACGTATCAAATGGGACCTTGCAGCATAACTTATCGTCGAACTGTTCTAAAATCACGAACCGCATGTTGTTCTCACCGGATGAAAGCTTGCTTTTGGTTATTTGGGATTCCAGAATGTTCTTATGGGATGCGGTTACGGGCACATGCAAGTGGACCGTGGAGCCGAAGAGACCGGATCCGCCCATGTCTGATGTGACAGATTCCTCGGACAGTTCAACATCCTTCGGATATGTTGAAACAGTAGCTTTCTCACCATCTGGAAATTTTCTGGCCGCCGGCTTTTGGCGTAAGCACACGGTGAGGCTGTGGAACATTGGGACAGGCATGGCGGAACATGTTTTTACAGACTGCTCTACAGATCAAATACAATTCTCACCTGATGGCAAGCTATTGGCGGCAGGATCTGTTAGCACCGGAGTTAAAGTGTGGAGAGTTTCCGACGGCGGTTTGCGGCAGACCTTGGAAAAAGAGGACGAGCCGTCATGGTTCAGGTATGCCACGAAGAGCGACGGATATTCGTGGCTTTTCGACACCAACGTGAATGAATACAGGATTCATCCAAAGTCCCAGGGCAACATCATATCGGTGACTGTGAATTGGATAGGCATCGGAAAAGATAGGTTCTTATGGATTCCACCTGAATATCGGGGAAATCGGTACGCAAGAGAAGTTATTGAGAATACGGTTATTTTGGGACTTGAAACAGGTGATGTGATTTTTATGGGTATTTGCCCCGAGAAGGTTAGGGAGGCTTGGAGCTAACTACCTCACTCTACATTCATTCATGCCTGTGATTTTGTGTTCTGCTTTCTTTGTCGTTTGCCATTTGAGAAGATTTTCGCTTCTTATATATGTATAGAAATCGTCAATTCAATTGAATTCAAGCAGTTATCTCACTAGCATCTTTATTCACATATTACACTTATAAGACATCTTTATATTCGCGAATGGTTCCAATGTCTACGTAGATTAGCCCTCATTACCCTAGTCGCATGGATTGTCTGCACCAATGGATCGACTCGCGAAATATGAAATTCTTTCAGAATGAAGAATTTCCTCGGAACGTATACAAAGGATCCTAAAGACTGTACCAAACACAATATATGAGAATTAGATGAACCGGTCAAGTTGCCAAATGCTTCTTTCCCACTTGTAATATTTTTAGCATAGATGGCGGCTAACGATATGATAACCCATCAACTTAACAAGGCTATCTCCTCCCTCGTCCAGGCGTCGATTGGCCACAACATAGCAAGGATTACAATCCATCCAAAAAAGCGGCGCAGCATCATGCAGCTACAGCGGGCTATGCTTCTCGCACCCCGCACTTGAGAATAGAGATCGACTTAATATATGAGCTTCCCTTTTCCACATATCCAAGTATTCAACAACCCCATCAACCCACAGAGAACGCTTCTACCACCATGGCCACCACACTCTGGGACCCAGACCGCATCCTTCAAATCACCAAAGGCCCTCACGATCAAGGCATGTTCTGTCTTGGTCGCGCGCGCTCCAGATACGATAGTCGCTGTCGCTGGGACATCCCCTATTCAGACTACCAGATTATCCGGAAATCGTTAAGCCAGCTGGCTAGGAAACTGCCACACGAGATATCAGACGACGAGCTGAAAGAAATAGCTGAGCGGGGATTATGTGATTATCATTGTGGCCAGGTGCACGAGGTCGTGTCCGGATGGCATGATACCCTTGCCAGTCTTCAGAATTTGTACTCGCCGTATAAAGACCCCGGGGAGACGCGCGATACAGTATTTGACGCACTTCAAGCCACGGTCAAGAGATCTGGCGATTTGCTCCCACCAGAGGAGGATAGCTCGGCGGAGGACCTCTCGGTATATTTTGGGGGCCATATGCGCGAGCCCTCGGAGCTGGTAGAGGCGAGGAAGCAGCGGGATTTGCAGACTACGCGTGAGAAGAATTTGGAAAATTGTTTGGCTCTGCTGAAAGAACGTTTGGCTCTGTGCGAAGAGAATGATCGTCTGAGGGAACAAAACTGTGCAAATCTTCAAGAACTGCTGGGAGAAGTCAAGGCCGAATTGTCCGATGTACAAGGCAATAACAGCATACTCACATGTACCATTAGTGATCTGCAGGGTGCGTGCGATCTCAAGATGAGACAGTTAACCGAGATGACGGCTGAATTGTCAAATGTGCGAGGCAACAATAGCAGTCTCATAGACGCCAATGAAGAGATGCGCAAAGAGGTCGATG